TCAAACCATGCATTGACTGATTTGCGTTCTGCATACCGGTTATTCAGGTATTTTAATACATGTTTACTATTTAAAATGTTTCTATTCTTGCAGACCAAGTAAATTTCATACTAATTACTTCCTAATATTTAATTAGGTTGATGGAACCTTCCTTACTAGGAAGTACAGAGGAACTCTTCTCATTGCCACTGCGTTGATGGAAACAGGCGGATTTTCCCGCTTGCATTTGCAATAGTGGAAGGGGAGAACAACTAAAGTTGAGCATGGTTCTTTGACCAACTACACGAACACGTGACACAGCGGGAGGGTATTACGATTATATCCGATCGACACGCGAGGATTAGGAACGCCATGGGTGGTTTTCCTGACGAGTGGGGATGGGCATGGCGCTGGTGTATTCGACACTGGCTCGCCAATTTCCAACACAAATTTGGAAAGAAGAAAGACATCAAAAATCAATTGTGGCATGCAGGTACTAATGTCCTTTAATGCGAGTTAACTATGTGTTTAATAATTTGTTGTTTATCATGTATTGACCATTTCTATATTGTTCACCTTGCAGCGGTTGCACATCAGCCAAAAAAGTACGAGCAGAAGATGAAGACCATCCGTCAGACTCACTGAGCTGGAGCAGTATGGGTTGAAGGTCAAGAATTGGCCATGTGGATGTTCCATATGGACAACGGGGCCAGATGGGGCATTGCAACTACCAACCATTAACGTAAGCAGATCGTTGTCGAGTTCGATCCGCATGTAATGGCGCAACATACCCAACCCGGTCCTCTCTATATAGGGTGCCAAGCGTGGATGCCAAGCGGGCAAGTTTGTGGTCCCTTTATGAACGACGAGAATAAGTGATTCCTTCAAAAAATAGGAAAAATATCAATTTGTTAGTTTAAATAAAGCAAAATAAAACCTTAGAAAATAATAAAATAAAGCAAATAAATCATCAAATTACCGGATTGTTATCCCAAATAGCACGAGAGCGATGAGCTTCTTGATCGGTTAAGAGACTCATATCTCTTGGCCCATAATGGATATACAATCGAGGATCGTATATCTCGGCACCCATCTATAAAAAAAGTAATGAAATCAGAGATTGTTTTGATAAAAAAAAATCACAAAATCAAATTGTTTCGATTAAAAATAAAAACACAAAAAAAAACCTACACGAAGAGCCTCTTCGTCCATTTTTTGGCAGAAGCCGGACAGAGGTTCGACGGGTTCGGGTTTGTAAGGGACGGGAGCTTAGCAGGACGGGGGATTTAGGGTCAAACTCTAGTAATTCTTTCTGATGTGGAAGATCGGACTTAGCCGCAACCACAGAGCATACTTAGAACGAGACTAGAGCGGATAAATTAAGGGAGAAAGAATTGAAATTGTTGTGGTGTGATTTGTAAGTGGGGGGAAGAGTTCTATTTATAGGGAAGGATGGGAGGCATCTGCGAAAATTAATGGGGATGGTTCACCGCGTCCCTCAAAGGCGGTGAATGCATCGCCTTTTCCCAAAACGGTGCCAGACGCGGATCGAGCGACGTGGCATGCTGTGAGGCGTCGGATGTGGGAAGAAAACCACGATCCGCGCCTCACCGCATCCAACGGCCACAGTGAAAGGAAAAGCGACGCGGATCGCTGACGCAAACAAACACGGGGTATTCACCTTGTTTGTCTAACGCGGTGAATACACCGCGTTTGTCCACGTCAGCGATCCGCGTCGCTTCATCGTGGCCCACAACAGCGGATTAAACTACACCGCGTTTAAGTAAAACGATGATTTATTCACCGTTTACCTCTAAAACGGTGATTGACTCGCTGGTAGTTCACCATTTTAGAGAAAAACGGTGAATGCCAAACATGTGTAGTTTTGGAAATTTTTTTATAATTTATGTATTTTGAAATTTTTTTTAAGAACATGTGTACAGTGGGATTTTTTCCCAATACCACCCTGGTACAAGGTGGTATCTTGTGGTACACAATGTTGAAAGTCGTAAATGACACTCCTACTATCATGTATTCAACCATCCTACAGTATTGGTATATTCATACCACCATGGTACCCTTTATACCATATAGTATGCTCTTATTTCAATACCAATCAATACCATATGGTGTAAATTGGTAAAAATGGCTCAATTTTTTTGTTCAAAAAATATATCAAAGTGGATATCATTTTGAAGAGCACAATTAATCTGATCTAACTGTGCAAAAAAATTAAATTCTGACTTAAAATGAGTGAGAAATGTCAAAGATTAAGTGGAAAAAAGTAAAAAGCTTTACAGGAGAGAGAAGGGGCCGCTGATGTGGGGGATGGTGATTGAATTATGCATGGTTACTGACCTATGTGTTACTGACCAGACCCCGCTCCTGTAGTGTGGGTATTACTTTAGTCTAGTGATGGCAATGGGGTGGGCGGGGCGGGTACCTCAATTCCCATGCCCCGCCCCACGCTACTACGGGTTGAGGCGGGTAAAACCTGTGCGGGTACGGGGCGTGGCGGGTTGATACACTCTTACATATTATTTGAAAACAATACACACAAATTTTACTTTTTACGATAAAACAAAGGGAAAAACACTTTATGAAAGAAAAATGTTGATATAAAATGGGTAATTGAGTCTAACAAGTTGAAATATCGACTCTAACTAGTTGAATAAAGGTCAAAATAGAAGAATATGTATAGATATTGTAAGAAATTGAGATAAAATAGGTATAGAACAGGGCAGAGTAGAGCGGGTCATAAGTACATATACCCATGTCCAGCCCAACGCTACTGCGGGCCGGGTAATACCCGCCCATCACGAGTCAGGTCAGATTCAAATTGGCATCACTACTTTAGTCTGCTCCGCCCATTATCAATCCGCTCCATCTCAATTGCCTCATATATTTACACAAATTTATCCATGCTATTTTGACTAATTTACAACATAATTCAAGTCTTTATTTCTCAAATAATTTTTCATTAGTCAAGTTATTATCTTTATTTTTCATTTGAAAGTCTTTTGACATAGTCTTTTCATATACAATTCAAAACATACTGCACATATATTCTTGGGCAATGTCTATTTTTTACCCAAACCTTTTCAAAATTCTTTTATTTTATCCAAACCTATTGAATTCCTAATAATTATCCAAACGTTAACTCTCCGTCAACTTTTCTGTTAGTAATGCTGATTAAGCATGACCATAATGAGTTGGCTTCCCACGTGGCTGTTAGAATATTATAATTTACTATTTTTAATAAAAAAATTAATAAAAACAACAAACAAAAAAAACAAAAAAGGATCCCACCCCAGTTGCAGCGAACCCTCCACCCCACCCCCCTCTCTTCTTCCTTCGCTGTTGAATTTAATCCTCTCGCTCATCCCGCTTGGAACTCCCTCGGCCGCAGCCACTACCAGCGCATCCCTCTCTCCTCTGCTTCTCCTCGGCGCAGCGCCGTCCTCTGCTCCGCACTCAAGTCCCCCCTCGCTCAGCGTCGCCGATTCGGCTTCCAGCGACTCTGCCTCTCGAATCGGATCGCTGAGTCAAGTTGCCGGCGAGCTGGGGTGCCAGTGGGGTGACGAAGGTAAAGGCAAGCTCGTCGACATCTTGGCTCAACATTTCGACATAGTTGCCCGCTGCCAGGTTTAATCGATGCTATTTTCTTCGCGTTTTCTCATCGATTTGGCCGCCGTCGTTGTTGTTGGGGCATATGGGGAAACCCCTCGTCGCCGTTGTCGGAATCGGAAGCCCAATTAGAGAAGGTTGTCGGCTCCTCTTCATCTTCCTCCAATCCTCCTACACCAGCACCGGCGTCTGTGTCATTCCAAGCAATCTCACGATCTCTGCTCCCTTCCAGCGCCCAACCCATCATCGAACTCGATTCCCCAAAACCCATCTTTTGATTTTTTTTTCTTCCGATTCATAGATCTGGATTTCCAGTTTTGAGGGCGGGCGATGGCGTCGATGTCCTCCTTAGTTTCGATGGCAAGCTTGGGCGGCGGCAGGCGACGGCGGGCGAGGGCGACGACGTGTGGGGTTGGGTGTTGGGGTTGGTTTAATGGAAATAGGTTTTGTGGTGTGGAGGCGGATGCAGAGGCGGAGAATAGAGGAAGAAGACGCGATGGAGGTGCAGAGCTACTGGACTTTTAAATTTCTAATTATTTTCTTTAGTGATATAAGAGATTTTTTTTCATTTCTGAGTGGATGCTGACATGGATGCATACGTGGAGTTCCGTTACGAAATAAGTAACGGTAACAGAACGAATGCCTAGACTTTGATCAGTTACAATAAGTTTGGATAATAAATAGAATTTTGATAGGTTTGGGTAAAATAAAAGAATTTTGAAAAGGTTTGGGTAAAAAATAGACATTGCCCTATATTCTTAGGGGTCGTTTGCTTGATGGATTTGAAAAATGAGGGTTTTGGCTAAAAAAAACCTTTGGATTTATGAGGGGTCGTTTGCTTGATGGATTTGGGTCATGGATTTGGGACTCAAATCCCAAGGATGATGGATTTTAGCCAAGTCCATTGTTTGTTGTTAGGTGTTAAATCCGTGGGGTCCACGGATTTGTTACCTTTTTTTGATCCAAATCCGTGGACCCCACAGACTTGTAAATCCCACATATTGGGGTGGGATTTGTAAATCCTTGATGGCTAGTTATATTTATAGCAAATCCATCATAATTATATCATCAAATCTATCATGCAAACAATAAACTCTTCAAATCCATGATGGTACAAATCCCTCATAAATCCAAAGGTTTTTTTTAGTCAAAACCCTCATTTTTCAAGCCAAAACCCTCATTAATTACATACAAACAAGTGTCTATCTACTTAGAATCATACCTACGTGAATTTACATAAAACCTAATCTATAAGAAATATAAGAAGAGTTAGAATATTGATAAGCCCACCGTGTGTAGTCATCCTATTGTCATTCTCATTCCTACGTATTACACAACTAAAGTTGCTATTAAAAACACATTAGTCAAAGTATTCTATTGAGACAGAATCAGTCGAACTCATTATCTTTAGAAACAAAACCAGCTGGATAATACTTATATTTCAGACTAATACACATTTTAATACCGTGAAAAAATTTATATTCAACAAAGCAAGAATCTCTTCTGTCTTTTGAATTATGCATTACTATGATACAAACACACAACCATTCGATTTCTTCTTTACAGCAACACCCTAACAAGCACCAATCCATGTGCTCCAATCTGACTCTTCACCAACCCAATCCCTCCCTTTCAAAATAATAATAATAAAAAAAAACATCTCTCTCAACATCAAAGGATGCAAATCCTTTCCCCACTAGGATTACAGGTGGGTCGACTCATCACTCTCAGCAGTCGATTGAGATGCAGGTTCCCGCAATCTCCATGCTATCAACCTTGTTAACAAAAGGATTGATCTTCACCCAAACCAGCGAGAACACAGACGCCAAAAGCACCGACCAGAGCACCACAATCGTCGGCGTCCTGTTCTGTCGCCCCATCAAACCCTTCAAGAACGGGTACAAATGGAGTATAACCCAGAACGCGAAGAACACTTTCCCGAACAATGGCCCCCAAGCTTCGTAGCCTTTGTTCAACGCGTCGGAGAACCCTGCCACCACCCCGACTATGTTCACGATCAAGAGGGTCGTCGGAGGGATGAGAACCGTCGTCCATTTCACCATGTAGAGCTCTCCAAACTCGGCGTCCTCTGCCGCCTTGGTCGTGACCGTGAAGTTCGTGTCGATTCCGGCTAGCATTTTCAGGAAGCCTTGGAATACGGCGAAGAGATGTGCGGATACGCCTCCGATCACCCAGAATTGCTCGTTGCGCCATAGATCCTCGATGCTCACCCCGCTCCATCGCAGCTCCAGAACCGCGGTCAGGATGATGGACATGAAGAGGCCGAGGAAGAGCACGCTCGCCAGGTTCGACAGCTGCAATCAATTCATCAGCCTCCGAGGGTGTGAGGTTAATTATGGATCTTATATCACTCTCTTACCATTGAATTGAGAACTAGCTATAATAATTTCGAAGGTTTCTGATTTTTTCGTACCGTTGGGATGATGAATTTGCCAGTGAGAAGGCAAATGGCGGGGATCAAGCAGTAGGCGATTAGAGGGAGGGAAGTGAAAGGGTAGACAATGGTGTTGATGTAGGCAAGTCTTTGTAGCCACCTGAGGCGGCCGCCTCCAAAGCCATACCAGAGTGGACAATGTCTGCTCAAGAAGATTTCGACTGAGCCAAGCGCCCATCTCAGAACCTGGTGAAGCCTATCCGAAAGATTGATTGGTGCAGAACCTTTGAATGCTGGCCGCGGTGGCATGCAGTAGATTGATCTCCATCCGCGGCAGTGCATCTTGAACCCGGTTAGGATGTCCTCCGTCACTGACCCGTAGATCCAACCAATCTGGGGGAAAAAGTGTTAAGATTCAGCATCTTGTTCCAGTTTTGATCCTCATCTTTCATCTATTGTTCAGCATATGGTTGAGAGTTCATACCTCTTTGCCCCACTCTGTCTTTTCCTCATAGCTGCAGCTGATGACATGAATGGCTTCCTTGATGAGTGTCGACGAGTTAACTGATTCGGGTACCCCTCCATTCTCCATCAAGGTAGACTCGATGAACACGGAAGACAATCCAAAAGTTTTCTCAAAGCTCCTCTGGGACATCAGCATTGATCTCTCATACTCATCATAGTCTGCAGGGTGGAGGAGAGAAGAGGGTGAGAAAAAGAACCAGACTTTAGCAGTAGTAGTATTTGCTGTTATTTACTTCTGCGTCAAGTAACCATTGGATTTGAGTTTCCGGCTGGGATTACTTACTGTCGATCTCATGAAGATTGAATATGGCAGCATTGAGCTCCTCTCTTTTTGCATCTTTATATAGCTCGCTTGCGTCTAACTCAGCCTTCTTCTTTGACGGGCAGCAACAAGAGCAGCAACCACACCATGAACACGATGACGATGAGGAAGTCTTCGTTAATGTAGGCATCGAAGGAGGTCCATATCCATAAAGTGCTTGCCTATTGAAAACACAACCTGTTCCCACGTAAACCGGTCCTTGAATCCCATCCAGTCCTTTCATGTTTACCTGCAAATAAGAAATGGGATTCCAGAATTGTCAAGAGAACAAGTGCAGCAAGACTACAGTTGCTTGTTGAAGAGGTATATTGATCTGTACTTACATCGAAGAAGACAATATTGCGATTGGCATATCGATCACTCTTGTCAATACCATCGAATCTTTGAGGGAACTGAACGTAGCACACATCTCGACCAACTTGTGGATCCATTAAGAAGCACATTGCCTCCCTAACTGCCTTGCTATTGTTCACATAGTGGTCACAATCAAGATTGAGGATGTAGGGCGCATTTGTGAGAACTGCAGAAACTCTCACCTGCGTTGTGAAGCCATATAAACTATCAACACTATGGAAGAATATTGAAAGTCTTTCAATGTAGAGATTACACCATGAAAATCTAGCTCATTTGATACTTACGAGAGCATTCTCAGCACCAGCCTTTTTGTGATGTTGGTAGCCTGGTCTTTTCTCTCTAGAAACATAAATCAGACGAGGGAGCTCATTGCCATCCATGTCTCGAGCTCCAGTGTTTCCAAGGAAGACCTGATAGGAGAAAAAGAAGCCTTTAAGAAACTGAAAGTTTTCAACTTTTATAGCTTATGCACGACTCTACGAGGAGCAAATAGTTTGGAGTTTCTACCTGAACCATTCCAGGGTGGTCTCTGGTGTTATTTCCAGGCCAGGGCGTTCCATCTTGCATAGTCCAACCTTCTTCAGGTGTTTTCTGAGCCCTGGCTACCATTGCATTCACTCTAATTTTATATTCTTCATAGTCCCTCTGCAAAATAATACCCAGTCGTTAACAGCCGAAATGACTGAGGGGACGATCAACAAGCTCACGAGTTATATATGTTCAGAGAAATTTCGAAGTCAGTTACCTTCATAGCTCTACGTTCTTTCACAAAAGAAGGCTGAACCTTGTCTTTCAAGTAATCAATCTTCTGCGAAAAATAAAACTCAGGTGCCCTTGGTTCAATCGCATACTTTTTGCAGAACGGAACCCACTTCCTTGCGAACTCAGATGTTTCAGCTAGAGATTCGAACGACAGCATGGCAGCACCATCATCAGATACATAACAGGAGACCTTCTCCACTGGGTAGTCCAAAGCCAGGATGGAAAGCACCGTGTTGGCAGTAATCAATGGCGGTTCTTTCAATGGATCGACTGTGCTCACAAAGAAGTCCACAGGAGCAAGCTCACAAGGTTCACCCGGCCTTTCAAACCTGGGAATGAATAATGGAGTTTAGAGTGAAAATCCAGATTACTTAAGCTAGGAAGGGATCACTAAATAACTAATACGTTGGTTGTTCAGAAAGTTCAGGTTATCTTAGTACCTTGCAGATAAGGTGTCGAGGTATGTGACTCTGTTGATAGGAGACCACTTAGGAAACTGATCCAATACCCAAGAGAAGGCAAACCAAATCTCACAAATGACAGAAGTTAGCCAAAGGCCAAAAGCACTGTCGACAGGATTCATTATTCTGTAGTGGAAGAAAAGGCCAAGAATGACCAATCGCATTATGATCACAGCTCTGTATGGTGTCAGCTTGTTTCGAGACATTGGAACGATTTCTGAAAGTGGCTGCTGCATTAAAGCATCTCCAGGCCTGCATAATAAAGCCATTTTCTAATCATTTAGCTTGAAATCTTGTATAACTTTGAAGTATACTAGTTCTATATCTGTACTAATGCTACTTACTGCTTGTCTTCCATCTGCTGCTCGTGTGGAATCTCAGCTGGTGCTTGTTCAGTCTTATTATTTTTAGCAACCTTTTTCTTCTTGTTGTTCTTCTTATCCTTCCAACTCTCGACTCGGTTCTTCCATATAGGGTTCCCAGATTCATCATTCATTTCACTGTCAATAGTGGACACAGTGCTGACATGCCTAGCATGAATCCCAACATCCTGTAAAGAAAGAAACAGTATCAGAAATTCAGTAAACAAAATATTGTTAGTCAGTTCATTCCCAAATGCATATAATGGCAAAATCACAGTGGCTGCTGATACCTTAGGCTGTGGATCACTGAGATGAGCAGCCATGGTGGGTTGACTACTACCAGGTGGCTTTTGGTCAGCATCATCATCAAGTAAATGCTCTGGTAATGAGCAACACAAATTAGCAGGAAATCAGCTCGAAAGTGTAAAGCTTTGAACTATGATACCTTCTCAAAGAAATGGAATGAAGGTTACCATCATAAGGGGAGCTACATCTCAAGCATACTTTCCGGCCTTCCTTTGCCTCATACTCAACACAAGATCTGCACATTGGGAAGTTACAGTCATGGCAAGCCACAAAAAGCTCCCCATTTGGCTTCAATCCAACAGCCTCTCCACAGGTGTTGCACACAGGAGCCCCGGGTTCCATCATCTTACTTTTGCCCCTATTTTTTGCTAAAGAGAACCCAAGCGAGCAATTACTCAGTTTGTTTTGCCATGATCCAGTTTTTATATTTAAACCCCAGAATGAAAGAACTGTGACTGCATTGATGTAATGGTGAAGCTTTCATGGGAAGGTGAAATGGTTGGTGGAGGGTGTAGTGTTGGTGTCGTGGGTTGTGCAGAGAGAGAGAGAGATGTACAGATAACAGATGAGATTGATAAGAAGCAAGGTCTAATTTTCCCACCTCAAAAGGCAGAGAGAGGGTTTCAAATTTTATGCGGGAAGTTGAAGGAAAGTTCAATTAGTTGAGGAGCCCCCATCCTTAACTAACTCAACAGAAGAAGCTTTGCTCCCAAGTCCCCTGTGCCTGTAAGGAAACAGTACACTTACGCAGTTACGCTATCTCGGCCAATGTTCAAGTGTCCATATATAAGATGGGCTGAATCACGTAAGCCGGGACCTGGAGGGTATCATTTGCCCTTGATCACTTGACAATACCCAAATCAGGGTCTGGAAGAAAGTCGAGAGCTTGCTTGGAGAACAGGATGAGATGCCTTCCACGGTTCCATTACGATCAAGAACCATCTTCAGATGCGATAATGGGCAGTAACTCGCTATCAAATGCAGGAATGAATCACTGAAGGCTCTTTCTTTCCCTTTCTCAATCTAATCAAAACCTTAATTCAGCTCAAATTACAGTGTCCTAGACAGCTGAGACAGAGTCCAAAAAGTTATCAGGATCAGCAAAGGAGTAAGAGGAAGATAACTACTGGTGCTACTCTGCAACGAACACTGTTCAGATGGAAAATTGAAAATCCCAGAAGGAGTATCAAATAGATGCATCCTGCTTCAACCACTGCACTTTCACAAATATATGAGTGGTACACAATAAATGGACACTTCTGTCTCTGATCTTCTATGGGTTAAAGCTGTTTTCCCACTGGGTGCAGGACTTCATCCGTATGCAGCCATACTCCAAAATGTGGATTCATGTAACGGAATAGACCTTCACTACTTTCGTTGTGTCACAGATGACAAGGTTCTCTGATTCAGTAGGAGTTGTACATAGCCAATTGACCTGTCAAATAAGCAGCAGCTCAGGAAATGAATAGCCAAATACACAAGTCACAAAGGGAAAAATAAAAAAATGGATAGTTATGTGCATACGTCAAGTGCAGAAATGAAAACCCCCCACCTTTTTGCTCAAATTGATGCTGAGATGTAGCGGGCCATTATTGCTGCCACCATCCTGCTCAGTTGTATCACGTCGAGAGCAATCCCACAGCTTCACTGACTTATCATTCCCTCCTGAAACGATGAACTTCCCCTTATCCCCAAATAATGAGAACCCAACACATGATACTGCGGCAGTATGGCCCCCCAACATGTAATCCAGATGCAGCCTGGTGCTTTGATTCGTGTTGGCCGTTGTTTCACTACTTGCGCCAGATTCGGCTTCTTTGTTGGAGTTTACTTGAGACACTTTCTTAGCCTTCGCCGAACTTTTCAACCTAATAGCAGCAGCAAGTTCTAATTCAATGTCTATCACATCGACAACACCATCACCCCTAGCTACTGCACATATCTTGCCTGCATTGTCAATCATATCAACATCTGGAACCGCTATCGCATGAACAAAAGCAGGATTGAGACATTGTGTTGCATTACTGCTATTGTTAGAGCCTGCAGTCAGAGAAATGTGGTAATAAGAGATTGATCTACATAATCAAGAGCATCATGACTGCCAAATAAATCAACGAATTTTTAGCTTTGAGTCCGGGTTTTAGATACCAAAATCAACAATTTTGATTGGGCGTCCTTTTGAGAAGTCCCACATAATGAGCTTCGAGTCCAGACCTCCAGTGATGACTGCAACATAAATTATGTTAACCGTGAAAATAGCTAGGTTGCAATTTTCTTACTTTTCAGAAAATTGGAGGAAAACAAGGATATTTGCGATTATAAAAGCTCAGCTAAAGTACCTTCCCATGATCTCCAAGGAATAAACTGCACACTGCTACAGATCTAAGATACAGTTAAGTCTGAAGGGAGAAGAAGCTTTTGAAATCACCAGTAGTTAATCTAACATCTTAAAAGCAAAGAAATGGTGAAGGATACACTTGAATGGCCAGCCCTCAATGTTTTGTATAGGCAATGCTGGTGAATGTCAATAATCTGCCATAGTTATAACATTCAGTTATGAGTTGTCCAGTTATAAAGAGACCCAAGACTTAATACACTTTAATTAGGGATGCATGAATAGAGAACCTTAACATCACCGGCATCATCTGTAGAAGCAAGGAAAGCAGCCCTCGAGTTGCAAGCAATCTGCACAGATCATGCACAAGCTTTCCAATTAAAACAGCTTTACACCTGGGAATAACATAAACGAACAATGATCTGCTCAGCATACAAAAAAACTTCAGCTACGTTCAAACAATATGCCAATCAGAATGTCATTTTTAGCAAAAGCTTGGCTTCTCTCCTGGGATCTAGAAGTTTACCTGATTTATCTCATCCTTGTTGTAGTTGTAAGACTTCAATGGCTTCCAGTCATTAGCCTTAAGAGTACCAAACATACGATTTCAGAAGTTAGTGACTATCCCCGAGGATCAAATCTACTTACCAAATCCGAAATCACATGATTACAAATCTGATCCTAATCAAGCCCAATCTGGAGGATGAACTGATGATTTTAATTAAAAAAACATTGCCATCCAAAGCAATACATTGAGATCACTAACAAACATTAATCCTCTCAGTTGGCTAAACGGAAAACAAATAAATAGATCGAGATATCTTTGTAATTCTTACCATGAGCACATCCAAACACTTGACTTCATTCCCAGAGGAAACGTAGAGGATATCTTCATTTCCTGCGAAATCATCCAAACAATCGCTTTAATTGAAGGACATCCCCTTCAAGGTTGAAACTTTCCAAAGCAACTACCCTCATTTTGTTATAAGAATTCCCAAACCACTAAACGAAGTTTAGCGGGAAACCCTTTTGTTGATTCACCTGGCTTGAAGGACAATGATGAAATTGGTTGCTCCCCGACCTCCATAACAAACTGAACCTCTTTGCATCGCATATCGAACCAACACACACGACCATCCTAAAAATCAATTCCCGTAAAACCAGTAGATACATACGTAAAACAATCAGAACCTTGCACTGAGAGAATTGTTCAATGTTTTGAATGGTCGTTTCAGTTCAACTGCAGTCAGATAGAGAAGGAGTACCTCGCCGGAGGTGACTACGATGCCAGGACGGTCGCGTGAGGCTACGCAACACGTGGCGGTGTCTTTGTGCCCTCTTAATCGCCTTGGCTCCGTCATCGCTAGCTCCGGTGATATCTTCTCTGGTTGATGATGGTATCACTACTCCGTGGGCCGTTGCTCCGACCTAGCTTCCTCTCCTCCCGGAGGATCCTCCCTTATTTGTTTCTCCCGCCGGCGCTGGATTGCGCTGCGCCTGACTTAATTTGCTTTTGCTCATGGCCCATTTCGGGGAGCAAGCTAACCGGGCTTATCCATGAAGCCCAGCCCGTTGTACGCAGCTGGTCTGTCGTTATATTGTGCTCGCCAGCACTCTTCTTGTGCGTTTAATTTGATTAACGATCCTGTTTGGATACAATTCCGAAAGAAATGGAAATGAAATTCCATTTTCATTTTCTATTTTTATAGAATTTTATTTCCAATTTTTGTGTTTGGTATAATTTCTATAACTATGGAAATGAATTGCACTTTTGATTTTAATTAATAATATAATATGTTTGTTTTATCTTGGGAAATGGACTATGAATAATTGAGAAAGAGAGTAGAGTGATAGCTGATTAATAAAATAATAATAAATAATTATGAGACCCACTAATTCCATCTTTACAAATCCAATTCCTACCACTTTTGATAGGAATTGTAATTCACAAAACTTAGGCTAAATGGAATTCATTTCTCAACCTTCTTATCATTCCAAACATAAAATATGGAATTGAAATTGGAAATAGAATTTCAATTCTTGAGTTTTTTGCCTATCCAAACAAAGGGTTTAATTTTACCACATTTTTTTTGTTCACACCAGTCACCAAACCATATTAGCAAAAGAGATGAATTGTTGCTGTAATTCCATCGTCACCGGTGTAGAATTACGTTGATGGCAAAGGAGGATATAGTCTTCTCAATTCTCAAAATCATGTACATTTCGTAATAAATCTGGAAAATTTAGTAGTGGATAAAGGTTTAGTCATCTTCGTCAGTTCAAATTCTTTGAATATAGATTTTTAGGTTATTGTGTTCTAATTTCTAGCTCCGCCACTAATTTTCACTAAAACGGTCTTGTCCGACCTAGAAATCTTTATATTCAATTATCCTGAATTTTGCTCCTTTCTAGTGGAAAGCTTTGGGGTTGTTTGGATGGGTTAAATGTCAATGTGGTATTTGTAGAGTCAAATAATTCATTTATTTATCATGTGGTATTTCAGTATTATTTCAGTGGTAACTGAAATAAAGTATCTCGTTTGGTTGAACCATGCAAATGTGGTATTTGACATGTGATATTTGGTAAATGCAAAGTGATAAAAACAAGTTATTTCAAAATAACACATGGTTATGGGTTATTTCAAATAACTCGTTTTGCAGCGATTTACTGAAATGGGTTATTTCAAATAAGTCGTTTTGAGATATTTGTAAATAACTCACTGTCCAAATAACTCATTTTAGTAAATCGATGCCAAACGAGTTATTTGTGTCCAAATAGCTCATTGTGAGTTATTTGAACCCAAATAACTCATACAAATACTCCCCACATTGACTGAGTATGGGGCTGGTAGAGGTAAAACCCGCAAAAAGTTGGATGGGTATGGGGCAGATATGATTTTAGCGTCCCAGCCCCAGCTCCATACCAACCCCACCAAGAATATTTCTTCATATTTGAAAATATATGGATCAAATTGAAACCTATCAATGATAGGAAGGTAACTTAAGACAATATATAGTAGAAATGCAATTGAGTGGCCACTTAAATCCAAATATAATTCCTTTTACGTCAATTCTCCCTTCATTCTTTCACTTTTTTGTCTTGTTAACAAGATAATTATGTTAGTTAAGTATTACTTAGTAGATGTATCAGAGTTAGAAACTAATGATTTGAAAAATATTATACTCTGTCTTATTGATTAATAGATGTTTAAGGATCATATGATTTAAACCGTATTAAGAATGATTGTATATTTGTTGACTTATTGATATAGTAGGTCTGTTTAGTGTTATAATTGAAAATTTACATGTAAAGTCTTAGGTCTATCTAATGATGTTGAATGCACGGGGAGAATATGCGGGTACGGGGATGGGTTTGCAAAACTTTCTCCCGCGTAGATATGGGGTGAGTATGAATTTGAATATTTGAAACCAGGGATGAAAATGGTATAGGCAAACCCGCCACGTTGCATTCGAATAAAAACCAACTTGCAAATGACTCGCTGACAGGGTACCAAGGGTACCAGGGTACCAAGCACCAGGGTACCAAGCGATCACAACACTTGAAAGAGAAAGATGGAAATGGTTGTGGAATTTATCTCTGCCACCGAAAATGAGATTTTTCCTTTGGAAGTGTGCCCGCAATGCTCTTGCCACCAAGAGGAAGCTGTTCAACCGGAGATGTGCCCCCTCTCCAGCATGTCAGGTATGCAATGATCCGGAAGAGTCTCTCCATCACTGCCTCTTTGGTTGCAGTCATGCGAAAGAGTCCTGGGATTCCTGCTACCCATCCCTCAGTCCGCCTCCACCGTCTGCAAATCTCCTCGAATGGCTCTTCCACTTGAAAGACTCCATTCCCATCCAGTCGGTCCACCAGATTATTTTCCTCACCTGGAATATCTGGAAATCTAGAAATGAAAAAGTTTTTCGCAACGCTTCCCCCTGGCCTCCAGCAACGTGTTCCAATGCTGCTCGAGACTTGATGGAATGGTCGAATTGTCCCCCAGTCCAGAGAAATCCTCCTCCTCCCAACTCCCAGCTCATCCATCCCCAGAACCAGACTTCACCACCGCCGAGTTTGCCTCTCTTTGAGGTTCACTGTGATGGATCGTTTCTTAGCGATTCCCAGGAGGCGGCCTATGGCGTTGTTGTCCTCGATAGCCATGGTCAAGTTTGTGATGGGAGAGCAGGGACCTTGCTTTGCGCTTCTCCTCTCAAAGTGGAGGCGAAAGCCTTGCTTGAAGCACTGTTGTTGGCTCAGGATTTAGCATGCCCGGTTATCGTCCGCTCTGACTGTTTGATTCTTGTGTCTGCTATAGCGAACCCAAGGGCATCTTGGCCATGGTTTTGCTCGGCAGTAATTGGCGTCATGACGGATCTTCTTGAGAGGAACCCGCTGATTAAAGTGTCTTTTTTCAGAAGGAACCTCAACACGAGAGCAGACTGGGTAGCTAGATCCCTTGCACACAATTCCCTTCCTCAGGATTGGATTGTCGTTCTTAGCCTTCTTTCAGAGTTCTTTGTGTAATGCTTTCTCCTTGGTTCCGTTTGGAAATGCAATATAAGCTGCACCTTGTCAAAAAAAAAAAAAGACTCGCTGACAAATCACAGAATAATCCAAACTGATTCTTTCATTTGTGCGAAAGTTCAGTGGAGGCGGTCAAAAAGGAATCTATTGATTTGATTCCCCCCTTCTTTTTTCTACGATGAAGCTGCCGTCTCTACGGTGTCGTATCCTACGTACCTATCCCGGAAGGCTAGTGCCTAGACCCTAGTAGTACAAGTCATGAAAGACAAAAGCAAACCCCACCGACGATGAGAATGGTTGGAGAAGGTAGCAAGATAAAGGCATCGCGGCTTGGCCTAAACTCTTGTCTTGTTGTGTGCTAACCTCGCCTACTAAATTAAAAAAAGATGGAAAAACTTGGAAAAGGGTTTTGACGAGAGTGGACGGGGTAGCTATGGCCTCATCGGAGTTGGTGGGTTTGGTTACACGACGACATAACTATAGTATATTACTATATGTGTTGACGTCGACGTCTCAACAACATCAAATTGCATGGCCGGACTTCTATATATAATATACGACTTTCTAAACAGAAACTCGTGAGCTTGAGATTCGGGCTTCCCTGCCATTGCCATGCCTTCTTCTTTGGCACTAGACTTGGCAACCAACCAATGCAAAGCTTCGAAACATCTCTGTATAGTTCAATCTTCATTCTTCAAACCAACCAAATCCCGTTCACCATAAAGCAATGCAAAGCTTCGAAACATCTCTGCCATGCCTTCTTCTTAAAGTTGTACCATAACATTAAATGTATAAGTTTAGGTTGTACCATAAAGCAATTTGTATCATTATGTTATGGTACAACTTTACAACTGGAAGTTGTACCATCACATAAAGGTACAAGTTCAACTTGTACCATAAAAGAATTTGTACAAAAAGTATAGGTACAATATAAAGTTGTACCATAACGTAAATGTACAATTTTAAGTTGTACCATAAAGGCAAAAACCTATAACACCAATACTATATAGCATTGTAAAATTTCTCCTCAATCATCCGAAGCAAAAACTTGTAAAAATTTGAAAAGGTGGAGAAGTTTTGCTTGGCCTGGGATCAAGCAAACTGGGCAACGGAGAACTTAATTATTACTCCACCAAACACAATTGTTGGTTTCTGTTTACGCAACTCCCTAAGAAAGAAAGATGTAACACTTCAATTTACGTGTTTAGTAATCCAATCCATCTCGCCATTGTTAGCCATTAATGTCCTTGGGGTTCCCCTTCCTCCTCATCCACCGTTGAATAACAATTACTCTTCTTTTTGGAAAATCGCAGGTTAGATTCTTCAAACACAAACAAAATCATTAAAAAAAAACCCCATTCCAAATCTTAACAACTCAGATTAATCAGTGATTCCAGATAGAGAAAAAACCTCAACGAATTATTGAGGAATAACAAATGAAAATTCAACAAACTGTGCAACAAAACAAGGTGAAAGAAAGAACAGAGCTCATTTGGTCAGTTTAACCAAATTTAGGAACTTCGCATTCTTTCCGGCTAGTTAAGCAAAACTAACCTAAGCTAAAAATCTGCTAAACGAGAAAAAAAAAATCAGAACAAGGATTCAGAGGACCAGTTCTAGTTAGATCAAGATTCATTCAAGACCTTTTAACCGTTCACTTAACGGTGCAGGCCACCGCTTGAGCCCAAGACTTGAGATGCCGTTTCATCGCCAGCGAATCGTTCAACGAAGGAATCTCGCTCCGATCCTCCCGTTGACTCACCATTATCCCGTACGATCGACCAAAGCTGCTGCCGCCGCCTCCCCTGCCACCGCCGCCATAGCTGCTGGGAGATAAAAGATTGAGGTCATCGAAACAGAGGTCGAGCTCCAGCAGCAATATCTTCCGCTTGCTCCGTGATCTCCTCGCCATACGCTTCCTCCTCTCCAATGGTGATTCCGGCTTCGACTCGAATACTATCTCCCCTACCCTGCTTCCTCCTCCTCCCTTCTCCGTCACCACCGGAGCCACAGGGAGCTCAAATTCTTCTTCAGGGGAATTGGGGATCAAGTTGGAATCTGCCCTGTGTTCAATGACGTCAGAGCTCTGGATTACGGCAGCAATTTGATTGCTTTGTTCTTCTAATTCGTGGGAATCTTCTTCTTCTGATTCTGGTGATGCGATTGGATTTGTGGTGGGAACTGGAGAGGTGGAGAGGACGTTATTGAAGAACCAGAGAGAGTCTAGACTCTCCATACACAGCTGGAATTCAGCCATTGGAAAGGCCAGTAGGCTGATAGTGTGCTGGAGATTAGGTATTTAAGGTTAGAAAGAATCGGCTAGGCCTGCGTTGGTATTTTAGTTTTAGGTGGACTGAAAGAAAGACGGGTAGAAGACGGTTTCTACATTTCCGTCGAATAAGCGGCTGGCAGCTAATTAACAGCGCGGATCGAGCGACTGGGAGATACCAAAAACCATAATTATATTGCTTCGGAAAAATTATAATATTAAGAATAATAATCGGATACGGAAATTCAATGACCACATTCTAAAAATCCTATTAATGTGCGTTTGGAAGTTACAAGCCTATATAACCCAAGTAACATGATTGGCTTCAAACTCATCGCAGCTTTCCAGGCCCACGAAACAACTACAATAAAAGGCCCAATCAATATTCTGTGGCCTCTCTAGAAATATCCATAATCATTATCATTTTAACTGATAAATTATAAGTCTAGTCACTGGGTTTACTAAAATAGTTCACTTTCGTCACTAAAAATATTTTATTTCATTCACGGTCATTGAAATTAGTTTGATAGTCCAAATTTGGTCATTGACCGTCCAACTCCGTTAAATTGTAAGTTTAGTCACTGGGTTTACTAAAATAGTTCACTTTTGCCCGTAAAAATATTTTATTTCATTCATAGTCACTGAAATTAGTTTGATTTTCCAAGTTTGGTCATTGACCGTCCAACTCCGTTAACTTTTTCTGATGTGGCAGCCAACTCTTATAGTTGACCGTTACATGAATGACGTGACAATTAAATAATATTTAAAAAATAAAATCTTTTACCTCTCTGAATTTAGTTAAGAATATATGGATAATTGTAAGCCCAAAAATTTTTGTAGTTTTTTTTCTTGTGGGCTCATTTCCCCTTCTTCACGTAAAAATGCAATGCAATAAACCATACAATATTTCTATAAATACATCTAGCCAAACACACGTGATTTTCGCATAAGTGTTATTTTCATCACATAAGTTTTGAATGATTATGTTTTGTAAAAACAAAATCACATAAGTTTTGAAAAGCAACACATGTATCTTTGACTCTCTGATATCCTATATATGCCAAAATTGTTACATCAATTTTCAACTGATCAACATGTCTTCATATCAAACAAACGGAGTGTTGTTGTGAAATTTTAAGGGCGAAATTGATATTTTATGCAGCTGGTTAGTAGTTCGATCCGAGTGTATGCATATTAATAGAGTGACAAAGTAGTAATTACATGAATAAGTCTCGGACATTGTTTCCAATGCAATGTTACTTTGCCAAGAGCAGTTTTCCCTGGAGATAAAATTATATAATTGATGTGGATTTTAGGATATATATTATAACATATTAAGTATTAACCATCATAATAATGAGTGACAATAATTATCAATGAGCCATCATTTCCTTTAGGAACACCAATTATGATTAACTATACATTATATTATGTGTAGACTTTCCACTTGAGAACATAGAGACAAAGGGACGGAGAGGAAAGCTGAAAGGAAAGGTTGCAGAGGGGATCAATTAAGGATATACGTGAGTTGGTTTACAGTTTGAGTCGTTGACCTTCATTTCAAATCATCAATATTCCACTAAACAAGTGGGAAATCGCATCAATCCCAATTGGATTTGGCTGTTGCCTAGTGGCAACTATATATATAATATATTAGATTAAGTTGCTGAATCATCCCACTCTGTAAAAATTCATTCCTTAGCATCGAACCATATCACCCTGGCAGGCTGATTATGATCTTCATTAAGGTATATATACTAATTGTTGGGGATGTAGAGAAAAGTCCAAGCCCATGAGGGAGGAAGGAGAAAGCAAGCCCAAACAATGGGCTAGGGCACTTGGCAGAGGACAGGCGCATGACGACAAAAGAAGAATATGGACAAGTGGTACGGAAGGAAGAGCTAGGAAGAAGGCCACCTGGCGAAGTGGTCCCTGCTGGGCGCCCCCTAGGGGGGCGTTCTTGGGCGGCCACGTACAGGCGCCTGACTCTCGTACGAACAATGCATTAAATGAGGCAGTGACGTGGGCTCAAGTGCCAGGATGACCGTTGGGACTTCGGCGAGTATAAATAGTACTCGGTAGGTAGCATTTACGCAGGTGGGCTTCTCTCACTAAAAGATTTCTCGGCACTTATCTCTCTAGAAAAGTGCACTAACTTGAGCTTCGGAGTGCTAACGGGTCGACCAAGGCCCTTAGGCGCTTGTGGGTGCAGGTTCCAGGCGCTCGCATAACGGGTGAGTGGAGAGCCGGAGGATAAGCGCTCGAGGGTATCTTGGCTCGAACAATTGGCGCGCCAGGAAGGGGTGAACAACGTTCGAAGAGTAAGCGCATGGAGAACATGAACGAAGGAAATGAGGGAGAAGGCAATTCCAGATCGGGAAACTCGGATCACGAGGAAGGCGAGCGTCAACTGGGTCAGGAGTTGAGCATGGACGTGGAGGGACAAGGAAGTCCTGGGCGCCTATCCGCTGATGATGGCGAGTCTCTGACGAAAAGAGAGTTGTTCCGGATCATAGCCGACCAAGATCGGGCCATAGCGGCGCTCAGTAGGGAGTTAGAAGGGGAGCGAAGTGAAGATGTGATGATGTACAGCCCGGAGGTGAGAAAGCGGGAAAGAATGGGGGAAGATTCAGAGTCTCTGCAATACGGACCGCCGCATACCTCCGAGCAGGGACACGACGTGTTTGGGCGCCCACGCGACGGGAGACCGAATGTCGAGCGCGAGCAAGTAGGCCCCGAGGACGTCTGGGCGCCTAGGAGGATTGCTCGAAGGTTCGGTGTTCGGCAGCCTCTGGCACGATGTATCTTGATGGAGCCAGCGGGAACTACGATCCCCCCATTGCCAAGTTATGATGGGGTGGCTGACCCAGAAGACCATCTGAATAGCTACTTCACTAAGATGCAACTCTACAACAGCTCCGATGCCACGTTGTGCAAGGTGTTTCCATCCACGTTTGCAGGCGTGGTCTTGGATTGGTACCACCAAATCGAGGAGGGGCGCATAGAATGTTTCGAGCAATTTGCTGAATTGTTTTTGTCTAAGTTTGCAAGCCGAAAGCGTCGGACATTGACCATAGGGGCGTTGTTTAAAGTCAAGCAGAGGGAAGGCGAGGCGCTTCGAGAGTTCTACGACCGGTGGATCTCGGTTGCCATGGCGGTCAAAGATGTTCAACCAGCGGTGTTAGGGGTTTGCTTGGATGCGTGCACCTCGAGCGAAGATCTATGCCGGGTCCTTTCCAAGCGAGATGTGGTGTCCACCGAAGACCTAGACCGGAGAGTACAAAAGGTGATTATGTTGGAAGAAACATTGGCGGCGCGAAGGGCTGAAAAGAGGCGCCTAAGGAATGATGAAGGGGAGGTGAGGCAGGCGCCTAGACCCGTTCCCGGAAATTTCGGTCCACCAAGGAGGCCGGAAGCGCCATGCCCCATACCAAGGAGTGCTGCAAATTTTACAGAATACAATGATACCCTCAAGAATGTGCTGCAATATGTGAAGGATAGGGGATATCATATACGGTGGCCGGGGCCCATGCGCGGCCAACCTAACGAAAAAAATCTTGACAGATATTGTGACTTCCATCGCGACAAGGGGCATCACACGGCCGATTGTTACCAGCTTAAGGCCGAACTTCAGACTTTGGCCAACAAGGGCATGCTCAACGACTTCGTAAGAAGAGTGGAGGACAGGATGCATCGGACCTATGTGATGAGGAAGGTGCCGGGAAATAGAGGGGCGCCTGAAGGACCAAGAGCCCAACCCATGGCGCCACCCATGGTCAGAGAAGCACCCAAGGAACCAGAAATTCAGCCGGCGCCTATCATACCGCCACCTCCGTTTGAGGTAGATCAAGAAGGAGAGCCTAATCGCGTAAGGCTTACAGTCGAGTCCATAACGGGTACCCTTGACTTGAGAGAGAAGTTGGAAAGAACTAGGCGCCTGAGGGCTGCGTCGCTGGAAGCAAGGGAATCCGTACACATCCACTTCAATCAGGAACCAGATGAGGCGTGCCAAGTCCCGTCGGAAGAGGCTCTTGAGATACAAGGGGTGATAGCCGGGTGTAAGGTGAAAAGAATGTTGGTGGACACCGGCAGTTCAATGGATGTCCTCTTCAAAAGCACCTTCGAACTAATGCAGCTGGCGCCTGAGTTGGTGCGACCTTCAAATTCTGTGTTGGTTGGATTCTCAGGAGCGCCTGCTCAAGTCATCGGGCGCGTGCGCCTCCCCGTGACTCTGGGGGATGAAGCGCATTGTGTGACGCATGCGGTAGAATTTGGAATCGTTGATTGCCCATCGCCATACAATGTGATACTTGGCCGACCTCTTTTGGCACAGTTCAATGGGGTAGCCTCCACGTGTCATCAGACACTGAAATTCGTAGCTCCCCAAGGCGTGGGCATCTCGCGAGGTAGGAATGTCCCACGATATGCAAGAGAAGAGGATTCAAAGAATCGGAGTCGGAAGCATAGGCTGAATATCATAGACATCCGTCCGGAGGAAGCGCCCAGAGCTGAGCCAGTAGATGATGAGATAGCCGTGATGTTGGATGAAGGGCGCCCGGACCAACTGGTACGAATATCAGCACAGGCGCCGGAGGCTATGCGAGCGCCCTTAATAGAATTGCTGCGGGAGTTCGGAGAGTTGTTTGCGTGGAGCGCCCAGGATATGCCCGGGGTGTCCCCCGAGGTTGCGGCTCATAGGCTGGCAGTGGAGGAAGGTAAGAGGCCGGTGCAACAAAAGCGGCGAAACTTGACCCCCGAAAAGGAGGAGGCGCTCCGACATGAAGTTGATAGGTTACGAGAGGCAGGATTCGTGGAAGAAGCAAGGTACATCACGTGGCTCTCCAACGTTGTGTTTGTTCCAAAGCCGTCGGGAGATTGGAGGATGTGCGTGGACTTTACCAACCTCAACTGGGCGTGCCCGACGGATGCCTACCCTATGCCACGCATCGACTTGCTAGTAGATGCGACGGCTTATCATGAAGCGCTCA